AGCAAATGTACAAGGTTTTGTCATCATCAGTTAACTGATGATGACAAAACCTTGTACATTTGCTGTTATGTTAAACTTATAATAATGTTTTTCTTCAGTACCTGATGATGACAAAACCTTGTACATTTGCTGTTATGTTAAACTTATATAAAAGTTTTTCTTCATTACCCATTCAAGCTGTCTCCAGCCATTATAATGATACTTTGATATTAAGACTTACTACTAAACAGTCCAACCATAAATACTAGGTTATTTCCACCAGTTTCAAACCATAAAAAAAATTTAGTATCCAGATTTTTTTTAGTAAGCCTTTCAGTATAAGGGTTTTCCTTTTCTTACCAATCAAACGTTTACCAGATTAAGAGTAATGTTCTTATTAAGTTCTTTTGGCACTTGATAAAAAAGGAGGAATTTCATAACCTTTTATTATAAAAAAATATATTTATCTCATTGTTATCATTTTTTCTTCTGTATATTGGAAATATATTAGGTTATTGTTTAAAATTAGTAGTTTCCCATATTCTGCCAATTTTACATCCTTCTGACTTTGTAGTACAATGTTTTTTTTATTAATCCTTCCTTTACTACATGTTATATGGATAAAACTTATATTAATGAAAATAAAACAAAAATATATAATTACTGCTGTGGAATAGAATCTAGATTATGTTGAGATAACCATACGTACTAGATAGCTAGGCTATAGTAAGCAAATAAGAAAATAATTTGTTTCACTTGTATAAGGCCTATTCCACAAGGATAAGGTAGATCATGGTGAAGACTAGGTGTTTATTTTTCGTGAGGTTTAAAGACAGATTTGTTTTATCTCAGTTGCACAATGTTCTGTTGTTAATACCAACCAATGTTTGCAGTTAAATGACCATTGTTTTCTGTTTGGTGTAGAACCAGTTACATAGCAGAAGTACCAGTGAAGAGATCCTTTCCATCAGCTCTGGTAATGAGATTAATGTGGTGAGCTTAAAACTTTAACCTTACTGTGTTAGATAAAAACATATTAGGCTAACCTGAACACATGTAGAGTTTATGCTTGAAAATGTTTTTTTAACTTTAAATGCTTTCACAGCCTAATATTACATATACGTGAACATCAAATGTATTACAATTTTAATATTGGCGTATTAACTCTGAGCAGGTAATCTGACTTTAATCTTGGTGTGTTAGGTTAAGAGACTCATTTTTAACCTGAAGTATATATTTATTGAAACAATGATAATAATATTTCATAAACCTTCTTTCTTCTCTAATAAATGATTTCAGTTTATTAATAACTTGAAATGTAGAATTTCTTACTACATAAAATACAATTTTCTTCAACGATATAATCAACTCCTTTTTTGTATTTATAGTTCAGTAAAAAAAAAGAATAGGTATTATTTTATTTTGATATAGTCTTTTGCATTGAATTTTTTCTCCGTATTTTAGTGTAAACAAACAAATCCAGATATTTTGATCCAACCCAGAAATTCACTGAGGCATTTCAAGAGTCAGAGCAAGTGTAGATCAAGATCCCGTACGTATTCAGATAAATATATTTACATATACTAAAAATATTGTACAACAGTGTCTTAACTCCTGTTGTTTCATAGCTTTAAAAATGTGACATTTCATAACTCAAAATATTTTTCAAATTATGCATTTCTTTTAGTATTAATATGCTACTTATGTTTCAGCCACTTCCAGTACATTAAAAAATGGCTAATTTGAAATTAACACAAAACTGTAAATAATGTAATTTTTAAAACCTAAATGTGGTTGCCCCCAATTATATCTTTTTGAAGTTTGTTTCTTAGGCCAAAGTTGTAGAAACATTCTATAAAACAGTGGTATGGGCAAAAACTGTTAAATATATATACTTATTTGAAAAAATATTAGTGAAAGTAGAAAAGCACATGCAAACATGCAATAAAGCTAATTTATTTTGATACCTGCATGTTAGTGATTTTTTAATACCCATCAATATATTTCTTGCCAACCCATAAATCCTAACTCCCATGACATGGTTAATTATTACAGGGGCATGTTCAGAATTCAGGATTATTCACAGCAGCAGTACTACAAAATAATTTAATTTCAAAATAACAGCACTACTAGGTGCATGTCAATGTTATTCACTTAATGGTGGCAAATACATGTCCCCAATAATAATAATATATATACATGTATTAACAGTTAAAAACAACCTCAAATTCCAAAGAGTAATATCTTACACTTCAGTCATAGCTTGTAGTTACTGTGTATAAAACAATGACAAAATGAGGATTGTAAATAGAAATGGAACTAAGTAACACAAAAGTTATTCTGGTAATTTTTAGTTGATAAAATGGATTTAATCACCACTCAAGGGATTAAAAAAAAATTCCATAATAGTTGGGACACATTTTCTATAAAAATATTTCATATGAAATTTAGTACTTCTTTTACAAAATAAAACTTACTTTCTCAAAATTTTTAAAGCCAGAATTTCCTCTTGTAGAAGCTGTCAATCTGAGCAGAAATCTCCATTTGCTTTCTGATAATTCTCTGACTACTGAGTATAATTTTTCTGCAGTAGATTCGAGCAAGTTAGAAAATGATTTCAAGAGAAATATATTTTAGCCTTTTTAAGAAAAAAATTCAGCACTCCTTTAGCAGTCAGTCTTAGAATACTACAATTTTAACTATACTAATAAGGATAAAAAAATGAGGCTCAGCGGTATGATTGTTCAGGTAGTTTGGGACAGTTTAAAGCTAAAGGTTTTTGAAGTAGACATCCCTAATTTATGAAAACCTACAGAGATGACCTAAATTAAGTGCGAACATGAACCATTGTGCTTTTTAGCAATATAATTTTTTTAACAGAATAGTGAACTTACATATACCCCTATCTTAAATAACATATATCATTAGTTCTCAATCTGTGACACAGTAGTCTGTAGAAAGGTTGCCTCATTATAGAAAGGAAGTGGCAGAGTAGAGTATAGGTTCCATTATGACCTGCAGAGAAAAAAAAACCCATTCTGATGGTACAAAAACAAAATAGTGGGAGAACCACCCATATATATGTGGTGTAACTTGTCTGATAGGATTATTTAACCTAATCAGTAGCTTGACAAGAATACTTAACCTAGTCAGTACCCTGCCAAAAATACTTAACCTAGTCAGTACCCTGCCAAAAATACTTAACCTAGTCAGTACCCTGCCAAAAATACTTAACCTAACCAATAGCCTGACAGGAATATTTAACCTAGTCAGTACCCTGACAAGAATATTTAACCTAGTCAGTACCCTGCCAAAAATACTTAACCTAGTCAGTACCCTGCCAAAAATACTTAACCTAACCAATAGCCTGACACGAATATTTAACCGAGTCAGTACCCTGACAAGAATATTTAACCGAGTCAGTACCCTAACAAGAATATTTAACCGAGTCAGTACCCTGACAAGAATATTTAACCTAATCAATAGCCTGACAGGAATATTTAACCGACACAGTAACCTGATAGGAATACTTAACCAACTCAGTACCCTGACAGATATATTTACTCAACACTGTAACCTGACATGAATATTTAACATAGTCAGTACCCTGACAAAAATACTTAACCTAGCCAATAGCCTGAGAGGAATACTTAACCAACTCAGTACCCTGACAGATATATTTACTCAACACTGTAACCTGACATGAATATTTAACCAAGACTTACCACTCTTACAGCTTGTAATAAAATGCTGATTATCACCATTTTAATATGAAAATTACATCACTTTAATTACATTCCAAACTAAACCATTGGCCAATTTTGAAACTCAATGTTTGGGATTCTAGACTAAGTTGCACAACATATGCTTTTGACGCATAGAAAAGTACTTGTTATATGATTACCATAATAATGCGACAAATTTAAATAAACTAGGCAATAAATTAAAAGCAACAGAGAAATTAACTTAAGTTTGTAATTTTTTAAAACTTGCAAGTAAGTTAGGAATTATATATTTCTTATAATTTAAGCTCACTGGACAGTGATACCATACTTTATGAGAAAAAAAAAAGCTTAAAAGTATTCTGGAACTACAACACTAGAATTTCTATATGAGAATGTGTATAAAAAGTAACTCAGGCAGTCTCAAGTCTAATACAACAAGCTTCAAAATTTATCACTGTAACATTGGCTACAAGGGCACCACAGATGCTATCACACCCTCCTGTCTTTTAGGACACTGTAATTTGTTTTTGATGAACCAAGATTTTTTTTTTTGACAGTGAAAACATCTGGATTTATTGATTATCCTCCCAGAAAAACTTTTGTTGAACCATCTTCAAGCTAGTGGTATTTGTCTTAGAGTATGGGTTACATGTAATTTGGATAGGTCACAACTGGAGGTATTTCTCTTAGAGTATGGGTTACATGCCATTTAGAATGGTCACAGCTGGTGGTATTTCTCTTAGAGTATAGGTTACATGCCATTTGGAATGGTCACAGCTGGTTGTATTTCTCTTAGAGTATGGGTTACATGCCATTTGGAATGGTCACAGCTGGTGGTATTTATCTTAGAGTATGGGTTACATGCCATTTGGAATGGTCACAGCTGGTGTATTTCTCTTAGAGTATGGGTTACATGCCATTTGGAATGGTCACAGCTGGTAGTATTTATCTTAGAGTATGGGTTACATGCCATTTGGAATGGTCACAGCTGGTGGTATTTATCTTAGAGTTTGGGTTACATGCCATTTGGACAGGTGAATGGTCACAGTTGGTGATATGAAAAGGAAAGATCATTGCTGCTTGATACATCACAATCTTCAACCAACCACCTTACCAGATAAGACAGTTTTCATGTAAGAAGATGGCCCATTTCAGCCCAGGTTATAAAATGGTGCTTGATAGCTAGCCAATTGCCTAATATGTTGAGCATGTGGGTTGATTCATCCTTGATCATTTCTTGTCAAAGCATCCTAAACAATCAACTCCTGGGGACACTCTCATCCAAGTTCTTTGCCAGGACTGGAGTGCAATCCAACAGTCAATATTTCAAATCTTGTAAATATGACCTGTAACCACACTTTTTGTTTTGAATACTGCAAAGGACATAATCCACTAAATAATAATGATAATCATTTACTATTTGTTCCATGTTCATTTGTTTAAACTTCAACAAAAACAGTACTGTTTCTAGAATGGTTGTCTGTTTATGCACTGTTAGGCTGTATGTTAAAGTTATGTCCTGCACCATCAAGAAAAGACAAACATTAAAAAAAAACAAGAAAAACATAGAATAAGGTTTTATTACAACAGGCTTTAAGCATGGTATTTTCCTATTAAATGAATTGTTAATTATTATAAATAAAGATTACTACAATTTGAAAAAAATTGTACGAAATGAAATTACAAATATACCAAACACAATAGCCCAGTCTGGATTTACTTTTAATTCTATAAGGTCACTGGCCAGCTACTAATATCTTATTTTCTTGTGTTACAAAGAAAATCAAGAAGCTGTCAAGCTATTTACAAATATGGCTTTTTAACATTTTCAGTAAGCTCAGTCACTGATTTTTTTGGTTTACAGTATCATAACTGCAACTTGCAAGTTCCAAGAAGCTTGCAGACTCTTGAAATATGGGTGCATAACCATAACGGTGTAGTATTAAACATAGTCCATCATGAAAGCCACAAGTTCTGTCTTCAAATAGCCATATTTATATCAATTTTAATTTAATTCTTGATTATCTACAAGTGTATGTTCACATAAATGATTTAAACATGTTTTTTGGAATAATTTAACTATATATATATATATATATATATATATATA